TCAGGATACATTGACAGTATTCAAAGCACATTTTGGGTAACTTCAGAACAGACAGTCTTTGCATCCACTGAATATATCTGCCCCAGGTCTGACTATGAAGAATTAAACCATCTCCACTTTGAGATGATTTGCAGACCTGTTTCCTGTTACCCATAAAAAAAAAATGAAATATGGAAAAACCCTTAGTTAGGTTTTGCATGTTGTTAGAGACTGGAACAATCCCATGCTTTCCCTAAAGCAAACAAAATGTAATCCGTAAAGAGAAATACAGCCATGGTTTCCAAAAATGAAACCATTTCCCCAGATAGCCTCCAGGGAGTTATGCCAATGCTTGCCAACCTTACTTGTTTTACCTATAGCCACTCTCTTAAGAACATTCAGCGGGCGCATCAAAGCACCTGCTCTCTATTAACCTGGGGGAAAGTTCCCCAAGCCGCCTCCCCACACCCTGCAGAAGTCAAAAGTCTCCTGCATTTCAGTCCTGGGCCACACTTTAACCCAGGAGTTCTCAAAAGAAATGCATGTTTGATCACTTCTTCCAACTAAGGAACGTACAGAGTTGTCCAATGAATAAATATACTGCTTCCTAAAACATGTAGCTTTTCTCACATTTTCTTGACCAGTAGACTACCAGTAGACTGATCATCTCTGGCTTTTCTCTTTTAAAAGAGAAAAAATTAATAGTACACTGCTTGACTTCACTAGCCCAGTCACTTTTATGCACAGAACTATTGCATGTCGTGCTGGACCTCTCCTGCATGGAACTGTTGTCCCTGCACTACTGTGGTAGGCCTCTGTTTGGACAGAAGTCTAGACCCACGGCTAAGCCCACAAGCTTCACCACTGGAACCCACACCACTGGGATGACAGATAGGACTTAATCACATCTCTATAGGCTTTGTGACAGCCCCATAAAGTTTCTGAAGTCCAAATGACAGACACATGGGATGCCCTTGTCCCATGGATATCCCTCCCTCTGGCAGACACATGTGGCTGGCCTGCATATATCTTTCAGGGCCTCCAATAACTATCTTTGTCATCTGCATTCTAGTGGCATCCAGGCTGGCACAGCCACATTCAAAAGTGCTAGGGATGTGATGGGTGCGCCAGGCACAAAATGGCAGGCCACTCAGCTTGATTAGTCCTTCCAATTTGGCATCCCTTAGCTCCACAAGCCACTGATTTTGCTTGATCAGTATTACAAGACCACTAACGTGATATCATAGTGGACACGTGAGCAGCCCAATAGCCAGTGTCCACCCTACTTTTGGTTCCCATAACATTTGACCTTGAAATTGATCCTGCCTCACTTTCCATACCATCTGCTTCTCCTTATTGTCTCATGCAACAGTGTATCTGGCTGGCCCTCCATAAACGCTCCAGCTGTAGTTTCTTGGTCTCTTGAAACATCAAAAAGGAGTAAAAAGATACAGATAAGATAGGAAACATGATTTGTTCTCTATTTCCGTTTGTGTTGGTGTCTTGTAAATTGAGATTAATTTTCTCTTGATTTTTGTACAAGTATAGCCACAACCCTATTTTATTTATAGAATAAGGTTCTCCTATCACTGGTTTATTTATTTTCAAAGCTCTTCTCTTCCTTTGAAGCTTCCACTTTAAACATATAAATAAAATGTTGTTTGCAATCCGCACTTGGTCTATAATGATTGGAACAAGTGCTGAACTATGTGTTATTTTAAAGGCAGTGTATTAAAGAAGCCGCCCCTGGATCAGTAAGAACTCACAGATAGTAAAATAAGTGCTGTTTTAACAGAAACATATGCTTAGGGCAAAAGGGCCTCTTACAGGTCAAACAATAAAATACTGTACAGAATTTAGCAAGGGTATGATCAAAAGGGTCAAGATAGCAACCATGATGATGCAACTGAAGCTCTGGCTAGTTTTTATGTTGGGTGTAATATAGTTGAGCATCTGGAAGCACTTTTTTTTTTACTTTCACAAATTTACATAATGCTACCAACATCTATAGAAGTTTATCTAAGAAACAATTAATGATTTCCTAAAGACAACTGAAATTGTCTATAATAAGGATACAATGCGTACATGAAATGCACTTCATTTTTTTTACCCAATAAGCTGGATTTTAATTGTGGAACTTGTGTTGAAATTATGGAAGAATTTAAGCAATTTGAATAGCAATAAATGCTTTAACCAGACCTATGTATTTTTTTTTCTGTTGGGGATTCTTTGTAACCCATGACATTTTTGATCTTGTAGTTTCCTGTGGCTTGATTATAAATGCACCTTACTGTATTTGTTTCGGGGGCTTGCCCATGCAAACCCATCATAAATTTTGGAGACTGAATTATTCTGGTATCCTGCTTGAGTCAAGAATGAACTTCCATTGTTCCCCTGAGGCCAAGTGAGAAGAGCCCAAACCTGTATATTATAATCAAAAGGACGATGAATTTAGAAGGTCTTCAATACTCTTATCAATCAATAAGTAAAAGAATTTCTCCCCTCATGACATTGCTGCCAACCCAATGGTCTTCTGCTGCACTGAGCTGATTGATGAAATGCTGAAATATGAAATGGAAGCAAATAATTATGAGATAGAATTACTCCATAAGCCTGCTGGTCCAGAGTGGATATTTTCCAATGTTTCTGCTTTCTCATTGCAATCAGTCAGAACTTAACATCAACATCAGCGTTGCTGGTTTCTTTTGAGTTGGGGAAATATAATTATCAGCAAGGCAGCTTCCAATACATGTCTTGTTTCTCCACGCCTACCAAAGGGAAACTTTGTAAGTAAAAGTTTTACAATCACTGGAGTTTTCTGTGCAATGCTGTCCATAGCATCAAAAGCTAAGATTTTGTCAGCCCTTCAAGATAGCCAGGACAAGAAGCTCAAACCGTGACTAAGACTATTTTTATTGTAAAGTGTAACAGAATCTTGCAACTCTGAAAGAGCACTTCCCCTCTTGCTTTACTTTCCAGGAAACTAGGAAGGGTCCCTTCTGAAAAGATTTCCACATGCCTTTTTCTTCTGTAGGCTGAGATATCTTTTGCATGATGGTTATCTAATCTGCAGCTCTTCCTCCTGACTCCCAAGGCCATTCTCACATGCCATTACAGAGAGCTAACAAGAGGGGCATCACAACGTTGCAATACACATCGTCTCTTGTGTACTTAACTATGATGTGGCAATGACAAATGAAAAGGTCAGAGGTCTCGTCATAATGCATGCTTCATAATTCCTCCCTGCCCAGCTCTCTCTCCAAAATGTCCATTGGCCCAAAGCCACAATTCTATTTCTCAGTGGCTAGATATTTTAAAGAGAAAAAAGAGTAAATAAAACGCAAACTTTGTGTCTATATCCAGTATGTACTGATCCAACCAAGCTATAATCCCTGACCTTTCTAAAGCAAGTACTTATTTGTGAACCCCTAAACACACAAACACAAATATGTTTCTGCTTCAGATTTTTTCTTCCAATAATGCATGCATTCATTTTCTCTCTCCAGGGACAAATTGTGTTTAGTCTAGGATATGGACAAAAATAAACAAGAGTCTTTTATGGATTTAAGTATTAAATTTTTCCACATTAACTACAAAAAGTTAGTATATACTGTAGCTATTAGCTCACTGTGTTTCTATCCTTCAAGATAGCTCTCTGATGCTTTTTCATTGACAGGTAGAAATCTTTTTGTTCCAGAGGTGAACAATATGTTTTGCAAACATGAGAACAAAGCTTTGTAGCATGTCCAATCTGATTATAACTTTACAAATTGTTGTTGGGTATTTTGTGTCCTTTTAACTCCAGTTAAGCAAACAGGCTCAGTTCTTGGTTTATTCATTCAACTTCAATCTGTCGAACTACAGGTATACTGTGTTGCTCAAAGTTTCACATAGCCTATTTTGACAGGTTTACACTGCAATCCTAGACAAGTTTTTTTTTAAAATTAAGCCTGGTTAAACACAAAGGAAATGAAACCCGAGTAGTGAATATGCGATTGCAGCCTTCAGATGTGTTATGGCTCTAAACTGTAAAGCACATTTGCTACCACTTTTAATCTGTTTTCTATCAGGTGGCACAAAACTTCAGATTCAAAAGAAAAAAAAAGGGGGGGAGATAAACCAAGCTACAGCATAAATCAGCGCTACATTAAGGAGATGAGGGGGGCCATTCTTATCCCTGCCTACACTGGAGAACCGCATGGCCTGTAAATCCCTACTGTAAACATCCTATTATTTTGGGATAGTTATAATACAGTGGTGGCGAACCTATGGCATGCATGCCAGAGGCAGCACTCGGAGCTCTCTCTGTGGGCACGTGTGCTGTCGCCACAGCCCTGCCTCCCCCCGTGGCCCCCTCTTACTAGCAGCCCCCCCAGAGGTGTAGCCTCCAGGTGTGGCCCGTTCGGAACAGCGCAGCCAAGGGCAGGGATAAGACTCTGTCCTCGCCCCATCGTGTGCAGATGCTGCTGCAGGGCACGGGCAGAGGGCCTGGCTGCCATGGTGCTGCTGGGCTGCCTGGGGAATCTGCAGCAGGCCGTAGAGGCAGTGGGTGGTGCTGCGGGTGGGCGGACGGGCCAGGGGGCAGGTCAAGGGTGGGGGGCGGAGCGGGGGCAGAGGCGGGGGGTGGGAGAGAGCGGGGAGGTTTTTGGGCACTCGGTCTCTAAAAGGTTCGCCATCACTGTTATTATATATAGGCAAAAGGAAAATATCTAATAAATGTTAGCAGTTTTATAAAATATATTCAAAAACCTGTGATTTTATAAAAATAGGTACGGTAATTATTTTACAAGACTTTTAGGAAAAAAAGAAGCCCCAAGTTTTATATCAACCAGTCCATACATTCTACTTAAATGGGAGGTTTTTCTCCTTTCTTTAAATACTACTTTAAATACTTTCTACCATGCAGAACATGTGTAAGTACAAAAAGTATAAATTTTACTTGGGTCTTGTGTTGTGTGCTGAAAAATCCAGGAAAAAAAATCTTTACTTAAATGGCTTTTTCTCAAAAAATTTTAATATTACTTACTGAGATATTCAACATATAGATGTATAAATGTACTTTTTCATTAAAATTAAACATTTACCCCTTTAAATTGAGAAATAAGTAACACTTTCTATAAAGATAGGTAAAATTCTCTAAAGCAAGACATGATAAATATATTACAGTGTCACATTAAAATATTAAAATAAATTACTGTATTTCAAAACAGGGAAACTAGGATACATTGCCTGAAAAAATTCTCTTCTAATCAATATATATACCATCTACTGTACACTGACATTAAGACAAATGATATACTCACAATATTCTACTAAAAAAAGTGAATTGCAATGTACTACATACATCCGCCTTTTGACCATATGAGTGTGAAGAGGAATTCTTAAAGGTGCATTACAATTATGCAACAAACTATGAAACATTATGAACCTTTATTTTCCCTTAAGATACTTATTAAAATCTTCTATTCCAAAAAACAGGCTTCTGTTTGCAAGGGACTACATAAGGTGCATGCTTTGTTCTCCCAAACCAAGGTGCTGATTTTGAAGAAGAAAACTATTTTCAAATTCTTCCATGGGATTCTTTCAAAGCTCAAAGTCACAACTTTTCCTTTGCAGAAATCCATCAGTCTCTCATGTCCATCTCACCTGCATTGTCAATCAACCTCAGCAAGCCCTTCCAGGGCCTCACTGCTGATTTCTTCCATTCACCAAAGGTTTTTTCCCCCCTCTCTTTCAGAGACATATTCCAGTAACAGAAAAAGGACTGCCCGAATAGGAGGCCGAAGGATTCGTTTTTATAGCTCCTCATCTTCACTGTGGCTGTTGTCTCGTGTATTTATAATACCTTGGAATCAGGAAAGAAAAAACAGCTGACATGTTCTGAAGCTGACATGCTACTCAATTTCTTTTAAACCTCGGCTCCTATACTATTCCTTTGAAGCTTTGTATTAGTATTTCTATTTAGGAGAGAACTTTTCAATCAAGAGTGACATCACATGCACTAACAAAGGCCTGTGAAAATATGATTTGCTTTGTGTACTAACAAGTCACACTGTCTCCTGCAGAAGGGAAGATGTCTTGAATCTATGGTGTTTTTTATCCTAGATTTCTGGGAAAGATGTTTTGGGGGCACTGATTGAGAGCATGAGAAACTACCATGTCAAGGGAATCCTAAATTTAACTCAGTGGAAAGAATAATCTGTTGGTTTTGTTTTTCCTGCTATCTTTTATTAGAGCAATAAACCACACTGGTAATAATGGAAACACACAATAGAAGCTCACCATAGTTCAGTACAATTCTTTGTAGGTCTCTCAGTCCAGGGGTCCCCAACCTGTGGGTAATGGCCCATTACGGGGCCACGGCCTATCAGCCACTGGACTGCATGAGTGGCTGGCCGGTGCGTGTGTGTGTGTGTGTGTGTGTGTGTGTGTGCACACGCTCAGCCCCATTCGCACGAGTGTTGCCGCAAGCATTGTGGGCGTTCACGGCCCCACTTGCATGAGCGTCGCAAGCGTTCATGGCCTCATTCGTGGAAACATTGTGGGTGTTCGCAGCCCACTCATGCAAGCGCTCACAGCCCCATTCGTGCGAGCAATGGGTGTTCTACAAAAACCATTCCTTCTTTCACCCCTCCCCCTGCTCTGGGCTGAAAGGTTGGGGAACTCCGTCTTAGTCTACAGGGATTTATTACATTATACAGCCAAAGCTCAGCAATATTTATGCAATTTCTGTGTTCATCTTTAGGATGTCATTGATAGAAAATAAAAACATCCTTAAATGAAAATTCATTCAATGCTCTTAATAGCTTCCAAGCCTAGACAGAAAAGTTAAATTCTCCCACCACATCAAATTTCCCGTATTTCATGAAGCATGCCTGAATTAAACAGCCTGTCCATGAAATAAGCAGAAGCATAGAAAATTAAGCTACTGTATTAGTTCTCTAAAACACCAGCTGCCTTCGATCCTCCTTCAACTGACACCTAATCTCTGGACTTGCTTTCTTCTTCCTTGCTGTCCAGTCATTTTTCTTCCTGTGTTATATCTTTGAGACTGTGAATCTAAAAACTCTCACCGGTACGGAGAATCTTTTTTTTTAACTAAATAACAACTTTTTACTTAATGTTTGGACAATGATGGCGCCCTACCTGAATTGAAAGCTGTTAAGTTATTCCATAGCATCACTAAAGGTCAAATGGCAAGTGGCCTTATCATCTTTACTCTGAAGACCTTCTGGAGAAGTTTGTAGAGGTGGAGTTATAAAGCCTCTGTACTGCTTACTTGACTTTGTTAATTTCTTAAATTCATTAGCCAAGGAAATGCCTTTTCTTTTATCATCTCGGCCTGCCTGCCCAGAAGAAAAAAGGAAAAAAAGAAGGATCTCAAAAGAAATCGTCAAATGTGATTTATACACATAAATATTGAAAAAAATACCTTTATGAAGAACATGACTCATTACATTACTATTAATAATAATATGAAACTACATAATTTTCTATTTTCTCTTTCCCTAATAAAGCTTTCTGTAAGATGCATAATGAACCCAATTCATACCTATTAATTATCCAAAGAAGATTAAAAATAATTAATTTAAAAAGAAGTGAAGAAATATGTGTGTCTGCCAATTTTACTTTCAGATAGGTATTATGTGTTGGGTTTCTTCTTATTTAATCCATTTCTAATGATGCATAACTGTGAAACAGCAAAACATTTTCAGAGCTGTACATCATACTATATGCTGTTACCTAAAATCCAAACTTTGATCTCTTTAATTATTTACTTACTTGTACTTGTTCCTTAAGTTTAAGAATAAATTTACCAGCTCCTTTCCATTTGTTCTGAACCTGAAACACACATTCTTGGTCCAAAAGGATCCTCTGACATGTTTTGGGTGTGGAACATCTCTTGTTTGCTGCCTCTTTTGATACTTCTTCCAAAAGGACGTAATCACTTGGGTTAGGATTGTTCAAAATACTGTAAGAGTATTTGGCTTTGCATAAAGTCTGTAAAAGAAAACAAGTTGGAAGCCAATGAGCTTCCCTCAATTTATGAGTGTCAGTCTTACCAGGTAAACCAGATTGGACTCATAAACAAATGAGCTAATTCTACTATGTTGTAAAGCTACATGGACAGAATTATGCATGTCTGAAAGTACAAACCTGCCCCCATTTCCCTTACAATCTGAGATACTATTCTGAGCCTCTTGCCTCACTCATCCTCTAGCTGCGGACTATGTTGTAATATAATAATAATAATAATAATAATAATAATAACAACAACAACAACAACAACAACAACAACAACAACAACAACAACAACTGTACTACCATCAAACATCCACATCTGCCTATCCCAGGTCCTGGGTAAGGACTCGATAGGTAGACAAAATGCCAAATCCAGTCTGAACATCTGGCTGACTGTGCAATGATCCATGATAATAATAATAATAAAGTTGGAAGGGACCTTGGAAGTCATCGAGTCCAACCCCCTGATCAGGCAGGAAACCCTATACCATTTCGGACAAATGGCTGTCCAGTCTCTTCTTAAAACCTTCCAGTGTTGGAGCATTCACCGCTTCTGGAGGCAGGTTGTTCCACTGTTTAATTGTTCTAATCTAATCTGTCTCTAATCTAACCATTTTCTTGCCAGCATTTTTTGGTCCAATCTTCCAAGGTCCTTCCAACATACTATCCCCATGGAGCAAGTCAACACTCAACCAACTGTACTCTGGTGATCTGAATTAGACACTTCCATACTACCCATTAAACATGCCTTTGAATGATATTCTATGCTTCCGCTGAACACCAGTGTGAATCTTAGCTAGGCGCTAGGAGCAAAACAATTTGCTCTACCTGCTGGATTACATCCTGGGCTGTGCTGAAGCAAGGAGCCTTGATGACTGTCCGAGGTTGCTCAGGGGAAACATCATGAACTTGAACAAAGAAACTATCATCTTCAGAGACTGCGAGGGCATCATCTTTTTCCTCTTGACAGGGATTCCTTGTATTTAAACTCTAGAAAAAAATATTTTAAATATTAAGAGCATCTAGGTTTTCAGAGTAGAGCCATATCACTTAAGAACCACAGAAACTGCTCCCTCAAATCTCTTCTCCCTTCTTTATGAGGGGGGTATCTTTGGTGCTCTCTGAGCTTGGCTGTTTTCTTGCAGACGTTTCATTACCCAAACTAGGTAACCTCATCAGTGCTAGTGATGAGATAGACTAGCATTGATGATGTTACCTAGTTTGGGTAATGAAATGTCTGCAAGAAAACAATCAAGCTCAGAAAGCACCAAAGATAACACCACCACCCGCCGCAAAAAAGGCATCCTAGATCCTAATAAACAGTGAAGAGTATGAGTCTGCATACACATATTAAAATAGAGAGGAAAAGTGCAGAATCAATCATGTCCTTACTGAGATTACTATAAGATTAAAAGGAAATTTGAGAGTATACTTCTCTCTTCAGTGGTGACCAATTATGTATCAACATGGGATGTTTTTAAATAACTGGAAAGGCTCAGATCATAGCAAAAAAAAATGCTTTTAGTTTTTATTCCATGCTGTAATGCACATCTCCAGGGCAGAAAAAAGAATCTTAGAATGCAAAATAACATCTTGAGAACAACTTCGCATATTTAATTTAAGTGCTTTCATTAAGAGTGCATAACAAATCCAGCTTCTTTACAAGGCTGGAATCTTCTGTACAAATGCCAAGAATAAATTCCAGCCAGCCACACATGCTGTTTTTGTCACTCCACCGGCTCCCCAATACTATCAGCAATAGATGTCAAGGCAAACAGACTCACTTCCTCGCGCATTTTAAAGATAATTCTTCCGACATAGCCTTCCTCTGGGAACCAGCTGTTCAAGAGCTGGACAAGCTCTTCCTCAGGGCCAAGTACCCTCTGGAACGGTGGTTTCCTGTACTCATTTCTGTCTTTAGATATAAAGCATTTCTCCTCCATCAAAAAATAGTCAGTGGGATAGTTTCCAATACCGTTTGCATTAGCCAAAATCTAAAACAGAACCATGGGGATAATTAAAATGGCAAAGGAACTTGAAAGTTCAATACTAAATAATCTCACATATATGAATACATATGAATGAATTACTCAGAGGGTCTTTTGTAGAGTTTTGTACGATGTAATACAACTGATTATTTTAAAAGAAGCAAATGCTTTTGGATCCTATATTTTGTTCAATCTGTCTTGCCAAAATATTTATTCAGCAGCCCAAGATAGTAGAATGGAAGAGCAATCTCCCAATCAGTTGAAGGATTTTCTACTTATGAATTTGGCACTTTTAGCTTTGGCTCCAGATGGGAAAATACATGACAAGCCAAAGTCCTACGATGAAGCCAATTTGTCTGGCTGTGAGGGACATCTCATTTCTTACACCAAACGTATCCTCCAAGCACACTTTAGGGATACAAAGAATTATATTGCTGCCATCACCCCAGTTATTTTTTTTTCCTTTAGGATCTCAGTATTTCTGTTGCCCTAAAACGGGTCTTCAAACTTGGCCCTTTTATGACTTGTGGACTTCAATTCCCAGAATTCCTCAGCCAGCATGCCTGGCTGAGGAATTCTGGGAGTTGAAGTCCACAAGTCATAAAAGGGCCAAGTTTGAAGACCCCTGCCCTAAAAGCTTGCATCACTTTTTAGTATCACAGAATAATTGACAATCAAACGTTCACAAAACCTTTTTGGCAGCTCTGTAGTATAGGCAGTGATGTGTTTTTCCCCCAAAGATGCTTCGTTTATATGATTTATCTGATTCATATTAATTTCTAGACGACTGATTACAATGACTGCAGTTCTAATGAGCGAGGGGGTGGGCAGGAAAAGATCTGCCTGAAACCTATTTAATTGATTATAAATTTATTCAATTTATATTTTTCCTCACTCACCAGACAACTGCAGCATGTCAGCTCTATGAAATTGAGTTTGAAGACAATTAGTGGCCATGATGTGTTCCAGGTACATTTTTACCTAATGAACTTCTGGCTGAACATTTCTCTATGTCAAGATAATAAACTAGTCTTTGATGTTAAAGAGGGAGAGGGAGGAAAAAAGAATATATGCAAAAACCATTTTCTGACTGGAGATTGGAGGATGTGACTGGAGAAGAGAGAAGGAGGACAACTACTAACACCATTCATACATGTGTAACATTTTCAACTTAATTTCATCAGTGCAAACACAATTTCTTCATAATTACTGGAGAGGACAAAACAAACTTCAGCATTTATTTTTGCCTCATAAGCTCAATGCTGTTCTAGGGGGGAAAAGATGAATTGTTAATTGACAATTAACAATTAACAATTCAAGGCAATCAAGAAGACTCTTGGGGCTTTTCAGTTATACTAAGGATTTTTGCCAAAGAAATTGTCACATTTTTTTCACATTTTTTTCACTACTGTGAAGACAACGAATCACTATGCAGGGCTTGAGTGCATAATGAGTAGAACAAGTGAAAGAAATCAAATCAATTTTTTGGGGGGGTGGGTTGCTCAAATCAGCATACAGATGAAAGAGCAGAACTCCAAAGCCTGTCGTAACCACCATTTGTTCAGCACTGTTGTAACTTCAAATGGTCCTTGAGCGAATGAAGGTTGAGAACCGTCTGTGGTATTGGCTACATGCCTCTTAATATTTTAAGAATTCAAGTGACTTATTTCATGCAAAACTTACTTCATGCAAAAGCTGAGCTACTGTAGTTCCTTGCCTTACAGGAAAAATTGTGAATGGTTCTGGACCTGGAACGCCATGTATGGTGACTCTGTACACTGCAGCTGCTCTCCATTCTGTTGTGCTGAATTGCTGTCCAAAATACACACACCAAAATAGTATCAATCAGAATAGAGCTGGAAAGGACCTTGGAGATCTTCTAATCCAACCCCCTACTTAAGCAGGAGACCCTATACCAGATGTCCTCAACCTTGGCAACTTTAAGCTGGCTGAGAAATTCTGGGAGTTGAAGTCCACAAGTCTTAAAGTTGCCAAGGTTGAGGATCCCTGCCCTATACCATTTCAGACAGGTGGTTGTCTAATCTTTTCTTAAAAATCTCCAGTGAGGAAGCACTTACAACTTCTGAAGGCAAGCTGTTCCACTGATTAATTGTTCTTAGTAAATAGTAAATAGAACCTGCTTCTGTATATTGTAATATATTGCACTCAACTAGTATCAGTGCTAGACATTGCTTAATAGCACATTCTAATTTCATAAGGCCCAATTCATACATCAGGACAGATTTCTCTAGGCAAATTCTAGGTACAATGCAGAGAAAGAGAGACTCAAGAATGGGTCTGGGTGGGACAACTCGCCACGGCCAACTCTCCCCGAGACACTTCACCATGGGACAAGAGTTACACTGATATTGAAGAAATGAAGGAATAGAATCATTAAAGAAAGGATGCCAAAGGAGGGACAAAATGAAATGTGACTGAAAAAAAATGAGTTATTGAATTGTCCTGTGGCGAGTAAACCCATGGCAAGTTGGTCATGTGAGTCAGAATTCATGATAAAGTAAGCTATGATTCAACATTATTAAAAATAAGTAAGATAAAAAATAGTCAGAAAGACTAAATTAACCGAATTAATTCAAATGAGTAAAACTGAATAATTTGTTATATGGAGAATTGGGTAATGCTTAGGAAACTGGAGAAATACAATTGCCTGTGTAACAATGTATAAACACTAGAAAAAATAAACTATAGTTGCCATAGTTTCTTATGAACTGAGGAATGATCAAAACAGAAGTTAAGAATTAATCAAATTATTAGATTGTAAGCAAGTGCTTATCTCTCAAGTTCAAAAAAGTCAGAATTAAGCCTACTTAACATTGGGTGACCTCTATTTCTAACTTTACTTTTCCAAAAAAGCAATAAAATTAAAAGAAATAGACTTTATATACACAGAGTTTAACCCAGTTAATCAGCAAGTCATACAGAAGAATTATATGTAGAATCATAATATGGTCACATTCTATCTCCTAAACAAAAAATCATTTATGGAATCACTATCAAACTACTAATTCAAGGCATATCATAGAATTTTATGATCCAGTGCTGTCTGATATAGTTCAATTTTTAAATTAAAATTAATGAGCCAATATATTCTTGTACAGAAAAAAATATATGTGCAACATTAGAAAGGCTGACAGAATGCTGATGAACCTCTGGTGTTGGTAGCTGATATTCAAATAGGTTAAAAGCCACAGTTCTAAAAGAAAGAGAGCAAGACTCAGTATGTATAATGGAAATACAGTTTGTGTGAATGTTATTAGTAGGCAATTAAGATTAGCTTTGGCAGAAAGAAAGAAAGAAAGAAAGAAAGAAAGAAAGAAAGAAAGAAAGAAAGAAAGAAAGAAAGAAAGAAAGAAAGAAAGAAAGAAAGAAAGAAAGAAAGAAAGAAAGAAAGAAAGATCCATAGATGCCAAGGCTATTCTGTTGGTTGTATAGGAATAGATTGAGCATCGTAAATTTAATTGTCTACTTAGATTTTGGTACTACCTATAGCTCGTACCTAGCTATGTAAAACTGTTAAAATTTTAACTAGAAATATAGTGCTAAATATATTTTAGTTAATTACCCAAGAAGTAGGTACAGCAATCAAACAAGAACTTTCTTCCATTCTTCGGCTGTTAATAAACAAACTGGAGATTTCTAATGCTTCATTATGCAGGTTTCGTAATTGGAGATGTCTGTAACCTTAAAGAATTTATAATTGGAAATTGCAGGAAAAAAACAATGAAACAGAGTGTATTCTTAAATATACAGTGTATATCACAATCAAGTAAATGAAAAAATAATGTCCTCTACTCTATCCAAGTTGTTTTTCAAAGGGCTCATCTTGAAAAAGATTCATTATAAAAAGAGTATTCTCTTATCAAAGACAAATAAAGAAATTCAGAGTGGAATCAATGGCTGCCCATTAAGTTAAGTTACCTATTCACTTGTATGGCATAAATGGCTAAATACTGCACAAATACTGTAGACTATGCGGGGTAAGTTCCTCTAAAACAGAGTTGAGTGATGACAGGTAGCATCTGTTAAGATATTTTGGAATTAATTGTTAGGATATTTTGGAAATAGGCTATTTCAATGTACAATTAAGAGGGTCAGCATGTTATGAAACATGCACACAGACTAATTGGTGTACATACTAGAAAGGAACTCTTCTGCAGTCTAAGAATTCCCACCACTTCAGCAGTCTTCTGAAACTGAACATCTTCTAAACAATTCATCTCTGAATAGCTAAATATCCTCTTTCTTTGTTGCCTCCAGGGTCCCTTCCAGCTTTATTCTATTCTTCTTCTCAATATGCAATAGAGGCAGCTGTGCAGTCAGGAATGAACCAAAGACTTACCCTAGCACTTAAATCTTATAAATTAGATAAGTTAAAAAACTTTATATTTTATATGTAAAGAATACACACGAAGTCCAAATCAAAAGCCATTTCCCACGCATCAAGAGATATTGCTATTTATATTTCTCTCTCATAAGGCATTAAAATAAAATCTGCATGTGCTGCACCATCATTTTTAGTGCTAACGACAATCTGAATTTGTGATCAAACATTATTTTTCCTACAAGTAGAATTATAAGGTAGGAAAATGCTGAAGGCACGTCACTTATTTTTAATAAAATATCTCAGCAAAGCATGCAAAGAGAGTAGAGCCCAGCCAGTAGTATCTGCATGCATTTTCTTCTTCACCATTAGGCAGCAACTGCTAAGCAACGTAGTCTGGGCTTTGCATCCAAGCATTACCTTACCTCTCTTTAAAGCTTTCAGAGGAATTATTCTCTGAGCCATCACAGTTGAGGAATTGTTTTCAACAACGGCAAAACGAAGGAATACTAGATCCTCAAAGTGAATCCGGAAAAGGAACTGTTCATTCCACATGGGATTTAGAGTATTGCGATGAATCGGTTTGGTGCGGAAATGACAGCTATCCAGAGGTATCCCAAGCACATCAAGTTCAATGCACGGGCTTCCTGTGCTGTTGCTGGGACAAACATTTTGTCCGGACACAATCTGACACATAAAAAAAAAATAGAAGTTCATACGTTTTTTTATTCTCAAACTGAAGAGTTCAGGAACTTCCAAACCAAAAAAAAAAAATGCCTACAATGATTAAAGCTTGATTTCAGAGAATCATTAAGAGGAAGCAGAAATATATCTATACGTAAACACAACTATAATAACAGTCTTGTTATTTACTGCTAGCTTATTCTAATCTAAACAGTATCTGCTTCTGGGAAAACACCTGAGTGGAAAATTGCTGCATATATATATAAATGGTCTGTAAATGGTTCCCATACGTGTGCGGTTCTTATCACATCAAAGCTCACTGTGAAAGTTTTATGACACCATTTGCTCCTATACTCAATTGTATGGGAGTGTTGATTGGTTGCTTTTGACTTTCAAACAAGGTGCACTTACTGTTAGTGAATAAATAGCCGGTTCTATATTGTCAAAATCTCGTTCTAAAGGACAAAACTGCTGATATTTGGGGCAGTTCTTATTCCAATAAACAGGTGGCTTCAGAACATATCCACAGCCTCCGTTGGCTTCGAACATTGCTGCATTCAAATGCAGGGGAAGATCTATGGATACAGCATCCCAAATATTACAAATTACTATACCTAACTTTCAAAATAAAGCATATTAAAAACAGTTCAGAAAAATATTTCTGCAAAATTGCAATGGTAAAATATGCACATTAATCTTGATTCCTTCCAGTGTGACCACACATTTAACTTATATACATACATACATACGTAGATACATACCATAATACATAAAATAAAATTAAAAGCAACAGATTTTTATTAATCTATTTAGAAAGTGTGTATGTTATACACTTCTTTAATGGCTCCATAAAATTTATTACAGATCCATTCATAGGTCCATTATTGAAAAAAAAATGATTATAATGTTTATGGAAGAATTCCTTCTTGAAGAAACAAAAATAACAAAAGTTAGCTTATGACAACTTTCTCAAAACTGATTTTTCTTCAAAATTTAAATTGGTTTGAACTCAAGCATTAATCTGAAGATTTAAGACTGTCATAAAATATACAATAGTGTAATAAGTCTGGAAACTCTATACCATAGGTACATCTATATAAAAATTATGATTTTTATTTTGTTTTGTATTGTTAAAATCTTAAAAGCTCCCTTAAGGTTCAACCATCAAGTAGCATATAAGAAAACTTAAACAAAAGCAAAGCTAAGAAGAGAAATGAAATGCTGATTTAGAATATAAACAGATTTGTACAGGTGAAAGCATTTATTTAACTAATCTTTACAAACCAGTATCAATACTTCACCTTAAAAATGTTTGGCAGAACTAGAAGAATTTATTTAGGAAATGCTAATCTGCACAGTGCCTTGATTATCCTAGCCTTCCCACCAGTTTGCATGCAAAATTGCAAACTTCTTAATCAAAAGCCACTTCTAACACTCATTTTACCAAGATTCTTCTTTAATAATGTGCAACTGATGATATGTAAAAACAGTAATAGCTGTTCTATTGAATATATTTTTGCAAAGTCAAAAGGATTTGTTTGGTGCAAATACATAGGATTATTATATACATTTCTCTGTTGAGTGATGATACAGAAATATGTTTTTCTCATAAATGTCACCATGCTACATTGCAAATATGGAAATTGAACTCCGCCACCCATACTGGGAATAGAACAGACATCTTAAGTTGTTTCTTTAGTGGTGTATTTTTCCATTGGATACTTTGGCTGCCCTCCATGCTTCCTGCCTCCCAACTCCCATTTAACACTGAGCTAGCAATAGCCAGCTTCAGAAAGCATTTGTGGCAGACTTATGGAAAAGCGTATTGGGCTTACAGTGCAATGAATATATCTCACAAGCTGGAAGGATTCAGCTGCAGCCACAGCAGGAAGAAGAGGAATCTGTGAAACCACTTTTTTCTTTCTTTCATTGAACTTGATAGTCTTTGTTTTAACTACACAGTACAGGTAGTCCTTGACTTACAACAGTTCATTTGGTGACCGTTCAAAGTTAGAACTGCTCTCAAAGAAGTGACTTAATAACCATTTTCCACGTTTGCAGCATCCCCATGATCGGGTGATCAGAATTCAGATGCTTGGTATGCAGGTTCGTATCTATGACCGTTGCAGTGTCATGTGATCACCTTTTGTGACCTTCTGACAAACGAAGTCAATGGGGAAGCCAGAATCACTTAACACAGAGGTCCCCAATCTTTTGGGCACCAGGGACCGGTTCCGTGGAGAGAGGTTTTTCCACGGACCGGAGAGTGTGTGGTTTTGTGTGCTGCCTGCATCCCACGGATGGGGCTTGGCTTGTTTGTGTGGACCGGTTGCTGGCATGCCGTGGCCCGGTACCGGTCCGCGGACCAGGGGTTGGGGACCTCTGACTTAACAAATTGGGTTACTAAGTTATCAGCTGCAGTCAATCTCTTAACAGCTGAGGCAAGAAAGGCCGTACTGTGGGGCAAAACTCACTTAACAAATGCCTCACTTAACAATAGAAATTTTGGGTTCAACGGTGGTCGTAAGTTGAGGATTGTCTGTACAATCATGTAAGACCAGAAAGACACTTCAGCACAAATCTAGGAAGAATCAGAGAGCCCATACCATCCGTCTGGTAGTTCAGTGCCACTAGCTGTACTCCATGGAGCCAGAATAGAAGGGGATGAGGGTTGGAGGAGTCGATGCGGGTTGCTGCCGGATAGGTTCTCAGTAGCTGGCAGTTGGTATGCTGTATCAGTTTCTGAGAATATCGCCTGCACAAGCGCTTGGCAGCATTTTCATTCAAGGAAGAAATGTGGTAGCACCTCGGCGTCCTTATTATAGAACTCAGAGAAGTTGTGGGAAGAGGGGAAGAGGTTTCTTCCCAGGTCTGCCGTACACTATCAGAGGTTCCTAGAAAATAATTGATACCTTCAAATGACATTTTCCAAATGTTAAGTTATGACATTTACCTGGTGTTGCACTCATCTAGAAAAATATATTAATAGGAAATAAATGCACAATTCTTTAAAATCATGATGATAACCCAAGATATAATTGGCAGGACAGTAAGGAATTTTTGTGTCATGACCACTTTTCTTGAAAACTTTGTTCCCCAAAGGAAACCACATTTTAAGAAATAAAATTATAGCTTAACTCTTCAGAAATGATAAATGCTGCAGAATATATTCTTCAGAAAAACATATCCAACGTTATGCATTTTCTATTCTTTATTTGTGCTTAAATTAATCTGATTTGTGGCTGATTTATTATCTCATAAATTAAAAGCAGTAGCAGTGCATGCATAATCAAACATTTCAACAGAAAAGAATGAATCCTGGCACATGCATAAATCCTGGTGTAGATTAACAACTTAACATTCATAATTTAAATCTAAAAAATAGAAAACAGATGTTACCATATTCTTTTTCTTTCCTTTGGAACAAGTCTATACATCAATATACCTTAACTGCTACTACACATAGTTATACAACACTTAACAAATATTAAGCAGGGCTTCCTCCTTAACTATAGCTAGTATTAGATCAGAAAAACCTATTTGATTATACAGGAAGGAAACAAAATAGAAGGTTGAAATCCAAGGAACAGGTATTATCAATCTCTTATGGCTAAAAGATTGGCACAATTACATCAGCATTTTGGCTCCCTCTTGGAAATTAAATCTTTCTAACTGCACTGTCATTTCCTTACAAATAATTGCATTAGATAGAACTGGAAAGCTTTTTTCCAGTATTACCATTCCAGTATTACCATTTCTTAGAAATTTAAAGTAAGCAGGGACAACATGTTTAAATTTACTCCATATTGCATTTTCACTGTCATATTCTCAGAAACAATCCTATTTAAATCACTGCTGCTACTGCTTTTTAAAAACACAGCACATTCATCTTTAGTTTATAAAACATTTTTATAAAAAAAATTTCTTTGCCTAGAAAGATAGCTTTAAGATGCCTAGAAACCAGGAGACTGTGAGTTCTAGTCCCATCTTAGGTGTGAAAGTGGCTGGGTGACCTGAGTCCAGTAACTCTCTATCAGACCAACTCACCTCCAGTGTTGTTGTTTTTGTGGGGAAAATAGGAGGAGGAAGAAGTATTAGGTATGTTTGCCACCTTCTTATAAAAATAATAAAGGTGGGATGTAAATTAGTTAACTAATTAAAAATAATTATACTGATATTTCCAGTGGCCCAACAGAGGTCTAATTCAGTTTCCAGTGTCCCAAAGGTGTTTTTTTCCCCCCAATAAGTTAACCGAAAAAGTCCAGTTGTCTTTTGAAAAAAAGCACCTTTGGGATTTCCACTTTTTTAATTTGTAGAAGATTACTTCTAATCTTCTACCAGGTCTACTGCTGGTAGAGAATCCTTCCATATGATGAGCACTGCCCATACAGAGTCACACATTTAATTTATAACAAGTAATTGAGGTATGTGTGTTGAGTTATGGAGCCTTCTCTGGAATTGATCTAAGAATTCTGACAGTACCTTTTCCAGATGCTTTTGCAAGTATGGTTGTCTCCCCTGGGCTCAGCCTTCCTGGACTGTTGCCAAAAATGGACTTCCGGCTCTTTCTTTCCTTCCCTCGGCTAGAACCAGATGGATTTAAAGTCGACAAGCCTTTTCCCATAAAAATATAATAAATAGATGGAGAGAAAAATGAGTGTGAACACATTTGATCATTTCTCAGCTTTTGAAATTTCAGCTGAGTTTTGTCAGGTTATACATCGAAGGGGCCATATGGACTCTTAATGATTTATCAACTGGTCTGCTAATTAGTGTATCGGTTATTTCAGAAATGTTATGGCTTGGATTCTAACTTTCATTTGTGGATTTCTGGTTGCAAAACTGCATTATTTATATCTCTACACGGCTCTTTGATAAATACCATCAAAACGGAATTCTGCAAGGTTTGGAAATTCTCTGGAACATAAATGGCGAAGATTTAATTTGGGGAAGAAAAATACAACAGTACAGATTGTTTTTCACTTTTCCTTATTTCCCCGTGAACTAGGTGACAGACATATACTGGCCTGTCTGTATGGGCCCACATGCTTGACATATTGTCAGGTATTTGGCTGTAAATAATTTTTGGAGGATCAACTTCTCTAAAGGAAAAAAAAATGACAAAAATGAAACAGGTAGAGAAACTTTTTATAAGCCAAAAAGTTTTAAAACTGTAATACAGAGATACAAAATAATCTTTATTTCCATACACAGCATTATGAGATCATTCATCTTTTCTTTAAAATTTCTACAATGTTATTTTATTCTTGCCATAGGCCTTTTTTCCCCTCCCACCCTATCCATTATGGAATGCCTGATGGCCCATTTAGTGCAACTTGTCTATTCTTACTCTGCTCCAATTTCCTGTTTGTGCTCCTATCCCAATATAACCCCTCTTTTTTAGTTCCCTTGTTGGACTACAACCAAATGTCTACTGAAAGGAATACTTGTGCATATCTGTGCATGAGCTCTGGGGTACAGAGTGGAAAAAGCAATGCCTAGAAAGAATGCTTCTTGCAAAGGAAGAGAGAGAGAGAGAGAATCTCTCTCTCTCTCTGAGAGAGAGAGAGAGAGAGAAGAAGAAGAAGAAGAAGAAGAAGAAGAAGAAGAAGAAGAAGAAGAAGAAGAAGAAGAAGAAGAAGAAGAAGAAGAAGAAGAAGAAGAAGAAGAAGAAGAAGAAGAAGAAGAAGAAGAAGAAGAAGAAGAAGAAGAAGAAGAAGAAGAAGAAGAAGAAGAAGAAGAAGAAGAAGAAGAAGAATCAACGCAAATGAAGTAAATAGTCAAAGGCAGTCAGGACAATGTACTTACCAGGGAATTTTACAGCCTGACAGTAAATGACAAGATCGGAGAGTTCTGGTGCTATTTGTCTACTTTCTTTTTTATTTTGGGAAAGATAAAATTCTTCACTCAGTTCCATATCATAAACCTACATCAAATCAAATAAACTTTCATTATAGTCATAGATCAACATAAAATCTTGGGATAAAATTATTTAAAAGAAGCAGAACATTTTAAATCTATCTATCTATCTATCTATCTATCTATCTATCTATCTATCTATCTATCTATCTATCTATCTATCTATCTATCTATCTATCTGAATAAAAGATGGAAATCTAAAAGCTAGAAGACACCAAATATACTTACATTTCACACACATATATATTTATTATATATTGTACACACATATATAAACACATATATACTCTATATACACATACATACACAAATATATGGTAAAAAATAAAAATATGTGGCTATATCTATCAAATTACAAAGCACCCTAATGTGACAAACTAGGTGCATACCAAATGTAGTTTATTAAACTGCTCACCAAGCACAAGACAGAATTCATCAACCCCCCAAATGTTGAGTGCTGTTACAATCCACTTTTGAGTTCAATTAATCAAAAGGGATTTAGCTAAACTTAATGCAACAGAAAAGACCAACCAGCAGCAACAAAAGCATGAGAATCAAGCATTTTAAATAGATCAAAAGTGCAAGTTTACACACAATGTCTTAGAACCTTGAAATTCTAAAATTGGAAGTTTGGAGTTTACTTCTAGAATCTATGGTTCACGTTTTACATCCTGAAACATTCTTCATTAGGTGCAACAAGAAATAATGGCAGGTCAAAATATTTTAAATTTGCTTCTAAATGAGACCAACTGTGAAAAATACATCACAAATAAAAAGAGGGCTTTATGTATTATGATGAAGATATTACAGCTAGCTATTTATGTTTTCTTCTAATCACTTTTACCTTTGTGTCGAAAATTTAAGAATAACCATATTATAGAACTCACTTCTAATGTCCCTTTCAAGTACTGACAAAGTTGTTTGTTGATCACAAAAGTTATAATATATTGACTTATCTTTAAAAAGCTTGTTTTTTTTAAAAAAAATAGTTGCTTAATAAATCCCAGCTCCCGCCTAACCCTTCTTTAGGATAGATAGAAGTTTGGAAGAAAAAGCTAAATACTACCTTTCCTTTACAGCTGCACACGGTGCTATCAGCCTTTTTAATTCTCTTGGCACTTTCTTCACCAAATTCAAACTGAAGCTTATCAATCGTTAATTTACTCTCAGGTCGGTCTTCCAAAATGTTATCTGGAAAGCAAGTAATATCTGATTGAAGTTTCTGAAAGGGAAATTTTATTTCAAGTGAATGTTTTGGGATGGTATTATCTGAATAGAGATTAACCAGCCAAATAATGTTTCTTTCTCTAATACTATTCTGTTGAGTCAGAATAATATCCTGTTGTAACCGAGTTCAGCAACCAACATTTCCTTAAAGAAAGAAAGCAGATTTTTCCAGTTATATATCTGTGCATTACAGGTAGTCCTCAACTTACAACCACAATTGAGCCCAAAATATCTGTTGTTAAGTTATTTGTTAAGTGAGTTTTACCCCATTGTATAACCTTTCTTTCCTTAGTTGTTAAGTCAATCACTACAGTTTTAAGTTAGTAATATGGTTGTTAAATGAACTGGTTTCCCTACTGACTTTGCTTGTCAAAAGGTTGCAAAAGGTGATCACATGACCTTGGGACACAGCAACGGTCATAAGTATGAACCAGTTGCCAAGCATCTGAATTTTGATCACATGATCATGGGTAAAGTTGGGGCTTACAATATTTGCCGGGATTGTAAATGTAAAAAATGGTCATAAGTCACTGTTTTCAGTGCTGTTGTAACTTTGAACGGTCACTAAAGGAACTGTTGTTAAGTTGAGGACAACCTGTAATATATTACATTAAAACTGCCCAAGTTACTGTATATGGACAAAAGCAATCTGATGCAATTTTCCAAAAACTTAAGTATTTTAAATAATTGTTGCACGGCAATGTACATAGCCACACTATTCAAGCATTTACTGGAGAGCTAAAAGGGAGGCACGTGAAAAGGAACTGAGGTGCTTATTAACACACATATTCATTCATTCATTCATTCATTCCCTCATTCAAATTGTATTGCATACTTTAAATCATATATGTGCCCCAAAATCTATTTTACTTTCAACATGTATAAGAAAAAGTGCAATATCTGCAAATATTATAAGCTCCAAAGCAGGAAAAGAAAATTAATGAAATATACAGTTGAACTTAAGTGTTATGTGAAAATGCATTCAAAGCACACATTCTAAATTGCTTGGAAATGCAGAGATGTAATTCATGCAGTTAAAATGTTTGATCAAGGGGTTTTACCTTCCTGGCTGTTAGCAGCAGGAGAAGCATTAAGGACATCAGCTATGAAAACAGTCAGAAAAGAAATAAAAGTAAAGGGAATTGACAGATAAATGAACATAACATTCAGACTAGATAGAATTATCATACTGACACAAACACTTGAAAAACTGCTTCAGGAAAACCTCAGTAGAAATACTTTATAAAAGAGAACACGAAGGCAAAGCAATTGGCCTTCGTATCCAAAGCTGTCGGAAAATCAGAGAAGAATTGACTTCTTAGTATAAGTATTTAGCAAAGATGGGAATCAGGTAAGAGATTAACACAACAGTCTTATACACACTTTCATGACAATGACTGGATGCAATGGAGCTTACTACTTCCATGTAAAAATGCACAGAAATTGTGATGTTAATTTATCAAACAGGTACTTTAATCATATTAGCCACAGAAGAGTCTACCTGGGATGAATCAGCAGGTTCTTTACATCATGCAAGAAAATAACCAACAACATATTAATATTTGCTTTTGCAACTTATTAGTTAAATTGTGTATTCTAATTTAACTTGTTTAATCATATTCAACTGAATCAGCTCTCAATGAGGGGTACTATCTAAGCATTGAGCTCATGGCAGAACACTGAAATTAGAAATGACTGTTAGTTGTCTTAATCACAGGATACCTTTGGGGATTTTTGTTCAGTGTTTTGGCCTTGTCATTATCATCTAAATTAAAGCCTTCAATGTGATATACACGAATGTCTGGAAATGTTATCCTGAGGAGCTTTCAATAATAAAGATTTATTTAACTAAGATTTAAATGAAATGTATATGGACTGACATGTCATACAATTATTTTCCCAGTACTTTACACAAACTAAGTATCTCTATTATCAAAAGCGGATATTAGGGAATATTTTAAATCACTCCACCTGAACCAGCAATCTTCCAGGAATTATCTAGGAATTACATAAACTGATTGCTTAATTTCAAAAAGATAAGTTGGGTTAGTACCAGCAATGTTTGCTAGATTGAGGGTTAAAAAATTCCATAACGCTGTCAAGAAAACTATAGAGGTATCCATGAAGTCACCAATTCAACTTGATTTAAAAGATTTGCATTCGCTGTATCAGAACACACCAATCTCTGGGAGGCTGAAGAGATTCTATGGATTATGGTCAGCCAGATAGATGTTCAAACTGCTTTGGCATTTTGGTCTACCTACTGAGTCCCTTCCAAGAACCTGGACTATTACTACTACTACTACTACTACTACTACTACTACTACTACTACTACTACTACTACTATAGATTGTATTGAGAGACTGTACTGTATTTTGACATGGGTTTATTTTATTTGTTCCTTGACCCAGGGATTTCAAGAATAGTGACCATGTTTCCCCCAAAATAAGACCGGGTCTTATATTAATTTTTGCTCCAAAAGATGCATATTCCAGTTAGGTCTTTTGGGGGAAATACGGAACTAAATGCATCTGTCTGGCTGACGATCTTAACTGGGGCTTGTATTTGGGGTGGGCCTTATATTACGAGAGTCCTGAAAAATCATACTAGGGCTTATTTTCCGGTTGGCTCTTATTTCCGGGGCAACATGTTATGACCAAAACTTTGACCTTGTCATAAATCTGAAAAATGCAGCATTACATGCAAGTGTGTTCATTTACCATCAGACAAGGACTCATAGTCATAATCATATTCATCTTCTTCATCCTCCTCTTCTTCGTTAGCAGTGGAAAGATTTCCCACATTGCTACCATTGCTTGCCTGAGCCTGCATGTATGCCAGCTGATGAGCCTGCAGCATCAAATCAGATTTTTAAAGTGAGACTGTATATTCAGTTAGAAAATAACAACAGGTCCTCTATCTTCATCCTCCACCACCCAGTTATATGCCACCTTTCTTATATTCCCATTTATCCATGAAAATCTATACCACCTCCTACTTCCTACTAGATTACTCTTTCCATTGAGCTATCAATAAGGCCTTACTAGACATATAGGCCTCCATCCACTTGGAATAACATTTAAATTTATTTAACAGAGGAGGTCAGCTACAAAAATATTGGTACCATGGTGGTGCAGGGGTTAGAATGCAGTATTGCAGGCTAACTCTGCCCACTGCCAGGAGTTCAGTCTTGAATAGAATAGAGCTGGAAGGGACCTTGGAGGTCTTCCAGTCCAGCCCCCTGCTCGAGCAGGAGAACCTACACCATTTCAGACAAGTGACTGTCTAGTCTCTTTTTAAAAACCTCCACTGATGGAGCACCCACAATTTCTGAAGGCAAGCTGTTCCACTAGTTAATTGTCCTCACTGTTAGGAAGTTTCTCCTTAATTCCAGGTTGCTTCTCTCTTTGGTCAGTTTCCAATCATTGTTTCTTGTCTTGCCCTCTGGTGCTTTGGAGAACAGTTTGGCGCCCTCTTCTTTGGGGCAGCCTCTCAAACACTGGAATACTGCTATTGTGTCGCCCGTTTCTTCTTTTCTTTAGACTAACCAAACCCAAGTCCTGCAGCCGTTCTTCATATGTTTTAGTCTCCAGGCCTTTGATCATTTTAGTGGCTCTTCTCTGAACTTTTTCCAAGGTCTCAATATCTTTTTTGTACAATGGTGATCAAAATTGGTTGCAGTATTCCAGGTGTGGTCTTACTAGGGTTTCATAAAGCGGTACTAATACTTCACGTGATCTCGATTCTATGCCTCTGTTTATACAACCCGGGATTGTATTAGCTTTTTTGGCTGCTGCTGCACATTGCTGGCTCACAGTCAAGTGATCGTCCACTAGGACTCCAAAGTCCCTTTCACAGTTGCTGTTTTTGAGCCAGGTCTTGCCTAATCTGTACTTAAACCTTTGATTTTTGCTGCCTAAATGTAAAACTTTGCTTTTCTCCAAATTAAAACTCATTTTGTTGGATAGGGCCCATTGTTCAAGTTTGTCAAGGTATTTTTCGATCCTGAGCTTGTCTTCTGGGGTGTTGACTATTCCTGCCAGTTTGGTGTCATCTGCAGATTTGATGAGCTCCCCTTATATTCCCTCATCTAAGTCATTAATGAAGATGTTGAAGAGTACTGGGCCTAAGACAGAGCTTTGTGGTACCCCACTGCTTACTTCTCTCCATGTGGATGTAGATGTCTTGACCGGCTCAAGGTTGACTCAGCCTTCCATCCTTCCGATGTTGATAAAATGGGGACCCAGATTGTTGGGGGCAATATGCTGACTTTGTAAACAGCTTAGAGAGAGCTGTGGAGCACTATGAAGCGGTATATAAGTCTATGTGCTAGTGCTATTGCTATTGCTATTCCATGCAGAGACTAGCTATCTCTAATGATATGAATGTAAGCTATTTATACAGCCTGAATCTTCTCCTGCAACAGTAAGCATGTCTTTTTTTTCTCATTAAAGAAACACTAGAACAAAACATTCCATGCCAAGATGTAGTATACAAATAAACCTCTCCCTTTGGGCATCTATGTATTCCGATCTTCATGCAAAATATCTTCATTACATAAGATATGCATTTGCTTTGATCATTTGCTTTGATATTTAGCACAAAATGGTTAGATATACCATAACTTAAAGGAATGTGGGAGTTTTGTTTTTGTTTTCAATGAACAACATCTTACTCAGTCATAAAACTCAGATCTGTAGCTCATCCAGGTTCATTTAAACCATTTTCATAAATTGTGGCTTTAAGATACCTTCTTTGGAACTGGTAGTTAATATTAATAACTGTTTGTTAAGTTTAGATATGTCAAGTTGTGGCTGCTAAATGGAAAAGCTTTTAAAACCTTCCTCTACACCAGACAAGTGTAGCTTGTTTACACTACCTTTGCAGAGGTGGCATTTGCTGTCTGTTGCTGTCTTCTCAATTCTGTTTGTATGCATTTGTTCGTAAGCTTGGTCTTTTACAGCCAGAAATAGCCCCTTGGTCTCTTTCTTCAATGTTCCTGCTCTTACCCATTGCCAGGTCTTGTTATCTGCCTCGGCTGCTATTTTCTTTATGTACTGGCCACATAATACTTTGTCTTGCCATGTCTCATTTCTATTCTTCATTTGATCTTTATTGTAGAACATTTCGTCTCTTAGGTATTCAGTAAACTTTCATGCTTCAAAACAACTTTTTCACTGCCTTTCAGATATTCTTCCAATGCTTTTTTCTTTCTTCTTCAAATTATTATTACTATGGTTGGTCCACAGACAGCCAGATGTTTAGACTGGATTTTCCACCTATCATGTCATGAAGTAGGTAGATATTGTTGTTTGATGGTGATAAAGGTATAGTTGCAAGAAGTTAGTGGCTCCAAATAAAACTGCCTTTTATTTCCTTAAATTCAAATTTTATTCTTAAAACATTGTGACGCCCAAAGTGGAATATCTGTAGTCAATTTAAAACTTACCTTTTGTTTTAATATATCCACTGGAGTTTGATGTGCTTTGAGCTTCTTATTTTTAAGCAGAATCTTTCTTCTTAATTGATGGGGAGAAGGTAACAATGGGTCATCAGAAAAGTCAGTTTCAAATAAAAATTTAGTTACCAGTTTATCCCCAAATGAATTCTGGAATATCAACATAATAAAAGATATTAGTTCTGAATGATGTTATTAATCCCGCTCAGACAATCAAATTTTGATTCTAATAAACCAGGATATGTATAAGCTTTATATACCTGCATTATATACCTGCATTTTGGCCCCCTCAGAGAGGGCGCGCAACTTGGGTGTCCTCCTGGATCCACGGCTGACACTGGAAGATCATGTGTCGGCCGTGACCAGGGGGGCGTTTTATCAGGTTCGCCTGATCCACCAGTTGCGCCCTTTTCTGGACCGGGACGCTCTGCGCACAGTCACTCAGGCTCTCGTCACCTCCCGCCTGGACTACTGTA